GATGCATGTTTGTGAGATTCGTCCATGTTGCATGCAGATAGAGATGGTCCATTTTCAGTGCTGGATAACATTCCGTGGTGTGAAGGCACTACCGACCGTGTGAACTGCTGATGGGCACACCAGTTGTTTTCAGTTTGGGGCTGTGTTCAATTGGTAGGGCTGCTGTCACCAAGTAGCACAGGCTAGGGACTTAAACAACAGAAATTCATTTTCTCGTAACTCTGGAGGCTAGATGTGTGAGATCAAGGTGGCATCTGTGTTGGTTTCTTCTGAGGCTTCTCTCCCTGGCTTCCAGATGGCTGGCTGCCTTCTCCCTGTGTCCTCCCAGGGTCTGCCCTCTGTGCGGGTCTGTGTCTTAATCTCTTCTTTTTTGTTTCAAACCTCTCCCGAGGATATGGTCATTGAATTTAGACAGAGGGAAAGGGGGAGGGGGACATCAATGTGAGGGAGAAACATCGATCAGTTGCCTCTTGTACGCACCCTGACCAGAAATTGAACCCGCAACCTAGTTAGGTACTGTGACCGGGAATCAAACACTCAACCCTTTGATGTATGGGATGACTCTCCAACCAAGTGAGCCACCTGACCAGGGCCTTAATCTCTTCTTACAAGGACACCAGTCATAGTGGATTAGGGCCCATCCTAATAACCCCATTTTCACTTAACTTCCTTGGTAAAAGGCTTGTGTCCAAATAAGGTCATATTCTGAGGTATGGGGGCTTTGGATGTCAACATATACATTTTAAGGGGGGTGGCAAACACAAAGCAGCCCATAAGAGAGGCTGTAATGTTAAAGCATCTACAGACATTCTGGTACACGCCATGTCTTTTGGTGAACATGGCCACGCATTTCTCTTGTGCAAATGCCTCGGAGTGAATTGGCCAGCTCATGGGGTATAAGCATGTGTGAACTGGAGCAGGACTGCCAAACAGTTCTCCAAGTGGCTGAAGTGTATTCCATCCTAACCCCTGGCATGGATGAGGGATCCGGTTGCTCCGTATTCTTGTCAGCACTTGATAGTGTCAGTCTCTTGAATTTGAGACATTACATGGTTGGTAAACACAAAATATTATTTGCATTTTTTTATTTTTAGAGAGGGGAGAGGAGGCAAAAAAAGAGGGAGAGAAACATCAATGTGTGGTTGCCTCTCACGCACCCCCCACTGGGACCTGGAGCCTGCAACCCAGGCATATGCCCTAGGCTGGGAATTGAACTGGCAGCTCTTTGGTTCATAGGCTGGTGCTCAATCCACTGAGCCACAACAGCCAGGGTTATTTCCATGGTTTTAATAGAGCCTGAATTTCCCAAGGATGCAACTACTTCCTTCTAAGGAAAACTGTGGCATGTTTTGTTCACAGGGGTGCTCTGGCTGGTGTGGCTCAGTTGACTGAGTGCCAGCCTGCGGACCAAAAGGTTGCTGGTTCAATTCCCCATCATGGCATCTGCCTGGGTTGTGAGCCAGGTCCCCAGCTGAGGGTGTGCAAGAGGCAATTGATCAATGTTTCTCTCCCTCGTTCCTCCTCCCATCTCTCTAAAAATAAATAAAATACTTAAAAAAAGAAATCAGCCCTGGCTGGCGTAGCTCAGTGGATTGAACGCGGGCTGCAAACCAAAGTGTCACAGGTTCGATTCCCAGTCAGGGCATATGCCTGGGTTGCAGGCCACAGCCCCCAGCAACCTCACATTGATGTTTCTCTCTCTCTCTTTCTCCCTCCCTTCCCTCTCTAAAAATAAATAAAATCTTAAAAAGAAAAGAAAAGAAAAGAAATCAACTAGGGGCTATGCACCATTTCTGGTAACCCTGTCCCCACTGCAACTCCACTCTAGACATCAAAATCACATCAAAGTGTTTCAGCCCTGGCTGGGGTTGCTGGTGGTTCCGTTCCCAGTCAGGGCGCATTCCTGGGGTGAAGGCCAGGTCCTCAGTGTGGGGTTCATGAAAGGCAACCACACATTGATGTTTCTCTCCCTCCCTTCCCCTCTCTCTAAAAATAAATAAATAAAATCTTTTTTAAAATTCAAAGTGTTTCACTACAGCCTGTGACAATCTACTGTCCTAGCTGCTGCGTTCACACGCACCCATGTGCACACAGAGCCCCTTCTCAAAATCTCAGCTGTAACCAGAGGATGTCGACCATATTCCATTGGCGCTTTTTCAAATTCCCTTACACTCAAACACATTCATTACAAGTAGGTAAAAGCATTTGACCATTTATCTTTTCCAGGGTGGTTGTACTAGTGCCTTTGTACATGTTTAGCTTTATTATAAATTACTTTCATTTCTCCTTTATGTTACAGTTAGATTATTATATTGATTTTTACAATGATATATGCTAGTGGGACATACTATCCATGCATTTCATTTCGGGAGAGTAAAAGGAGTGCTAGGAAAATCGCTTTTGTTGTAAAGGGCGTTTGGGAAACCATGGGGCTGGGACCCGCCGACCCAATGGGCTGGGGAGATTGTGAGTGCTCCAGCAGAGTCAGGCTGCTTCAGTTGTTCATTATATACTGAGAGCTACTATGTGCACGGCCCTGGGCTCTTCAGGGCTGGGGACACAGTGGTGACACAGACAACCCAGCCCTGCCCCTGCAGGGCTCAGAGTCTGGGGGCATACAAGCCCATTCCCCAACAATGAGGATGCTGAATGGGCTAGCCTGGGATGAAGGAATGTAGCGGGGGTAGGACAGCCCAGAGGGCCATCTGCCCATTTGCAGTCAGGGAGGGCTTCCTGGAAGAGGTGATGATATCTGAGCTAAGTCTTCAGGATAAGGAGGACTTAACTAGAAGAAAAGGCTAGAAGGGTATCCCAAGCAGGAGGAACAGCCTGTGCTAAGGCCCAGACAAGAGGGAGAATGTGTTGTCTTCAAGGAACGAAAAATACTGTGCCCTGGGCAGCCTCCTTCTGTCTGAAGTGGAGGCTTTACAGTGAGGCTGCTGGGCCCTCCCTTCCATGACTGTCCAACACCCTGGGAGGCCCTGGAATTTTCTCTCATATTCTTTTGTTCTTTTTTTTTTTTAAGATTTTATTTGTTCATTTCTTCTTTTTTTTTAAACTTTCTCTTTTTTAAAGATTTTATTTATTTTTAGAGAGGGAAGGGAGGGAGATAGAGAGACAGAGAGAGAGAACATCAATGTGCGGTTGCTGGGGTCACGGCATGGAACCCAGGCATGTACCCTGACTGGGAATTGAACCTTCGACACTTTGGTTCGCAGCCCGAGCTCAATCCACTGAGCTACGCCAGCCAGGGCTTATTTGTTCATTTCTAAGGAGAAGGGAAGGGAGGCAGAAGGAGATGGATAGAAACATCGATGTATTGGATGTGCAAGAAAAACATCAATGTGTGGTTGCCTCTCATGCGCCAACTAGGGACCTGGCCTGCAATCCAGGCATGTGCCCTGACTGGGAATCGAACCAGTAACCTTTTGGTTTGCACACGAGCCAGCACATGTTTGTTTTCTTCAGGAGGGTTTCCAAATTGTGTAAACTTCAGGCCCTATATAACCTGGGTCCACCTCTGTTCCTTTTGGCTTTATAGTAAATTAACCTTTGATCCAGCAATTTGTCTTTTTAGAAGTCATAAATGGTCTCCATTTATTGAGAACTTACAATTTTTCAGGCCTTGTGCCAGGCACTTTATATGCAGTAACACACTGATCACTGAATTCTGCACAACAGACTAGGAGGGAGGTGTCACAATGTGTTTCACAGACGAAACAGCTGAAATCCAGAAAAGTGTCCTACATTCCCCAAGGTCACACAGTCAGTAAGTGACAGAGCCAGAATACACACCCATGCCTCCTGGCTTCAGAAGGTCCACACTCCACAGTCTTCACCATAACATTGTGAGTTCTCTTTGAGCAAAGTTATGGATCATGTACCTAGAAAGACGTGTGCTTCCAGAAGTTCAAGGCAGCATCGTGGGCAATCTCCCCCAACTGGGAACTACTCAGACGTCCGTGAGGCCAGGTGGGGCAAATTATGGCCATCTGCAGGACAGAACATTGCCCAGCAGTTTGAAAGCTTGTGAACTTTCCCTTGTTAGGTTAAAGATACAGAATTTCAGTCTTTTTAAAAAAGACCTTATTTATTTGTTTAGAGACATGGGAAGGAAGGGAGAAAGAGAAACATTGATGTGAGATAGAAACATCGATTGGTTGTCTCTTGCACACCCCCAACCCAGGACCCAACCTGCAACCCAGGTGTGTCCCCTGACTACAATCAAACCGGTGACCTTTTGCTTTTTGGGACGATGCCCAACCAACTGAGCCACACGGATCAGGGCCACCTTCCATGTTTTAAGTTGCAAAATATAAGTACAGTACTGGCAACCTCAGGAAATCTGGTCTGCCCATTTATAGCTGTCATCACCTCCTATACGTTTTACAGAGCTTTTATTATTGTTTACAATCATTGGTTTATTACGTCTAAGTTGTGGTTAATGCATAATCTCCTGGACTCTGCAGCCAAATCCAGCTGATTCGTAGCTTCTTTCAGTTCCTGCAGTACACCAAGCTCACTCACCATAGGGCCTTTGCTCAGGCTGTGTGTCCTTTGCCTGGACAGCCACCCCCTCTCACCCTCAGGCCTCTCCTCCCGTCTGTTGTACAAGGCCTCGCGCACATTTCTGTTAACAGTTCCTGGTTATTTCGCATTTTCTTGTGCCTTCCCACGTGAGAGTAGGCTGGAGTCTGCCTCATTCATCCCTTTGACACCCCCATTTCTCCCAGCACAAGCCTGGCAGGTCAGGCTTCCAGGAGTCATTGACCAGTACCTGGCACGGACCTAGTTATAGGAACCAGGAAGTAGGGGGAGCATGTAGAGGCCAGAGAGGAAGGATGGTGTCTCCATTCTCTAAAAGAAGCTAATCCAGGCGGAAGGAAGTTGAACAAACTTGCAGAACACCCTTGAGGACCAGCTGCACCCACTTCCGCGTCCACCCATGAGGGCGCGGCGCCTTTAAGGATCCCGGAAACGGGTCGCAGGACCGGAAGTGATTCTCTTTATTTCCCCTCTTCACGTGGTGCAGGTGGGAAGTGACGCGCGCGGCCCGGGAGCTGCGGACGCGGAGGCCGACGGAGCGGGAGTCGCAGACGCCGCGGGGTCTCCGGGACAGGTGATCGGGAAAGGGTCCGAGAGCGCGCCCGGAGAGGGCGGGGCCTGACGCTCCACGCGGGGGGAGCGAGCGCGGGCTGGGGAACGCGCAGCCCGCGGGGGCGGGGTCAGGGTACTCTGCGGGGGGCGGAGACAGGACGCCCACATGGGAAGCTAGAGGGGCGCTGGCGGGGCGGGACGTTAGCGGGTGGGAAGGGCCCGCGCGTGGGTGGGCAGCTGGGGGTGGGGCCAAAAAGTTGTGCTCGTGCTGGAGGTGGGGCCAAAATTGCCCCGAGAGCTAGGGGGCGGGGCCTGTAAGCTGGCGGAAAACACGGGAGGCGGGCCAGAAACTTTTGCCTAATCTGGAGGTGGGTCCGGATCGTTGGCGGGGCAGTCGGGGCGGATCTAGAAGCTGACGTAAGAGGAGGGCGGGGTCAAAGTTGCGGCGATCCAGGGGCGGGTCCAGAGTCCTGGAGGGGCATGGTAAGGTGGAGCCAGAAAGTTTTGCCGAAGCCAGAGGCGAGGTCGGAGCTTTGGCCTGGAAGCCGGCTTCCCAGTCTGAATCTTGGCTGGGGTGTCCGGGGTGAGGCCAGTTGTAGATGCAACGAGGCGGCGGCGGGAGCCATGGGGCATAACCAGAAAGTCGTTGGGCAAATGGGAGGCGTGGCCAGAGTGAAAACTGGCGAGCTGGGGCGGGGCCAGTGTAATGACGCGAGGAGGGGGCGGGTTCCAGTTGTTGCTTAGTGACCAGGGGGCGGGTCCAGAGGATTGGCTTGGAAAGTCAGAACGGGGCTACCTCAATGACGCGTGTGTGGGCGGGGCCAAAAAGTTTGTTCTGGCCTGGGGGCGGGGCCGTGGCGTTTCCTGAGTGGGTGGAAGCTGGAACTTCTCCCTGGAAAGCCACGGGCCGGCGGGGAAGTTTTATCTGCATTGGGGCTGGGAGAATTTTCACTGGGGCGGTCCGGCCAGGCTCGGGGAGCCTCGCCAGTGGGTACCAAACCTGTTTTGAAACCTTTGCACTGGGGCAGCGGCACTTTCTCAGGATGGTGGGCACGTGGCTAGGACAGCCCTGAGGGAGGCATGGGTTTAGGATGTTCTCTGAAGGTCAGGGCAGCCTCTAGGAGTGGCGTTCCAGCTTTCTATTTTTTTGAGTGTGGGATTATGGGATGTTTCTGAACCTTTCCTGGGAAAGAGGTGGACCTATAATGTTCACAGGGAGGTGGGCCTGAAACTTTCATGTACAGGTTCGGGTGAGAGCATGTAGCGAAAACTTTCTTGAGATGGAGGCCCATGTTCAGACTCTCAGCACAGGATTGTAGGGGCTGGACTAGGAAACTTCATTTGGAAGGAAGCAGCATTAGATGGGTTGTTTTTGGTTTTTGTTTTAGTGGTGGAGTGGAGCCAGAATTTTCCCAAGGTGGGTGTGACTCCAGTGTTTACTTGGAAATGGGTGGGTCTAAAGGTTAATGGGCTGGAGCCTAAATTTTCCAGGTAAGGGGGCCAGCTAGTATTTCATGAAGAGCACTTGAGAGTGAGGACTAGATTTCTTTTGTGGTGCAGGTGTGTGTGTAACCCAGGATGGGAGAGAGAAAGCAGATTGGCCCCGGGGGGGCGGCGGGGGCATTGGCCATAGTTTTTCTGTTCCTTTTGCCCTTAGGAACCCCCAGTGCTGTGTGCTGATTCTTCAGGGAAGTTTTACTGGAACCCTGGCCCCAGCCAGTGAGCAGAATGGTGAGATTGCAAGTCTGGAGTTTGAGTTCTGGAGCAGGGGCTTGGGAGGAGGGGACCCAGGTGCCAGAATCAGCCTCTGGATTGAATGTCATTGGTATGGGTATAGGTTTTTCTTACAGTCTCTCAGTGGTTTCCCTATCTCAGTCAGCCACGCTGGATCTGAAATCAAAGGAAGAGAAGGATGCTGAATTGGACAAGAGGATCGAGGCTCTTCGGCGGAAGAATGAGGCCCTCATCCGGCGCTACCAGGTGCCCTAGCCCCGCCCTGGGAGACCCCATCCCCTCTCCTCCCCGCAGTGAGTTTCCCTCACCTCTCCCTTCCTTCAAACCTTTTCATGGTTCCCCTTCACTCTCAGGATAAAAGCCAAAGGCCTTAGCCTGCCATTCTTTCCTTCATGCCATCATTCCATCATTCATTCAACAAGGCCTTCAGAGTACCAGGCCCTGTGCCGAGTGGTGCTGGAGAGACAGCTGTGACTGAGACAGCCCTGTCCCTCCAGGGTTGACAGTCCAGTGGGGGCACAGATCTGTCTTCGGTCAGTGATGACCCAGGGTGGGCAAGGCTAGGATGGGGGAGTTGAGAGGTCTTTGGGAACCCAGAGGGTGTACTTCCCCCAGCCGGCAGGATATTAGGGAGGGCTTCCTGGAGGAGGGGATTCTGAGACCTGAAGGGGGAACATACACTAGCCAGTTGAAAAGGAATGCAGAACATATTGTAAACAGAGGAAACAGTTTGTATAGAAACTTGGAGTTTAAAGTTAGAGTGTCATTTGGGAATGTTGACCTGGAGAGGGCAGCAGGGGCCAAGCTGAGAGATGGGACTTTTTCTGGAGGGTGTTGCACGACCATGGAGGACTTTGAGAGGAGTGGGGCCAGGTCAGAATAGCTTTTTAGGATGGCTCCTCTGGCACCCCTGTGGTGATGGATGGGAGGAGGCAATAGTGGAGACCAGAGCCCAAGGAGGAACCTGAGGCTGGGACCTTGGGGGGAGAGGAGGCGCCTGTTTGGGTCAGGGCTGTTGGTAGGGACTCAGGGACCTCAGTGATGGGAGGTGGGGACGAGGGCAGAGAGTCCAGGACAAGGCCCAGGTCCTTGCCAGAGGTAAAAGAGTAGGCGGTGGGGCTGTCCCTGAGAGGAGGGACTGGGAAGGGGGGTTTCATTCATTCATTCATTCATTTAAAAAAATTATATTGAGTTTCTGTTGTGTGCCAGGCAGTGTTGTAAGTTTGGGTATACATGAGTGAACAAAGCAGGTAGAAGTCCCTGTCCTCTGGCAGATTCTGTTGCAGGGGGACGGAGACAATAGGCAAAATATACATAACGCCAGGTATGGATGGGGGAGGGACAAGAGAATGGCAGGGGAACTGGTTTCTATAAGCTTGTCAGGAGAGGCCGCCCTGAGAGGGGGAACATTTGAGCAGAGACCTGGAGAAAGTGAAAGACTAAAGAATCTCTGGGGGAAGAGTGTTCCTGGCAGAGGGAACAGCAGGTACAAAGGCCCTGAGGCGGGTCTGAGCAGATCAGACCATAGGCTGTGGGGGAGCCTGCGGCTCTTACTCACAGACAGGCAGGTACCACGGGAGGGTCCTGAGCAGGGGAGTTGTGTGCTGCTGCTTTGGGGAAGATACCAAACTGGCCAGCTTACCCATCTAGAGCTCAGGAGAGAGGCCTGGGCTGGGGCCAGACTTGGGAGAAATTCAGGGGGCTGGCCATGGGAGTCATGGGAGTCTGCCATGGGAGTCTGCCATGCTCAGGACCCTAACGCTCGCCTACCTCTGGTGTCCACTCCTAGGAGATTGAGGAGGACCGTAAAAAAGCAGAACTCGAGGGCGTAGCTGTGACAGCTCCCCGGAAGGGCCGCTCGCTGGAGAAGGAGAATGTGGCAGTTGAGGTGGTAAGTTCCACACCAGGGTGGGGGACGCCTGAGGACAGGGTGAGGGAGAGAGCTGATCCCTGAAAGCCCTCCCAGTTGCCCCAGGCCTGTGGGTGACATTCACCCTGGCAGCTTCCCCTAGGCCGTCCAGTCCCCCTGCCCCAGTAACTGGACTTTTCCTCCCTCCTGCCTTCTAGGAGAAGAACCAGGGTCCCTCCCGCAGGACTCCTGGGACCCCTCGGCCCCCAGGGCCCAGCAGGGGAAGCCGGACTCCCCCTCAGCAGGGAGGCCGGACAGGCATGGGCCGGGGGTCCCGCAGCTGGGAGGACAGTCCAGGGGAGCAGCCCCGAGGAGGAGCTGGAGGCCGTGGCCGGCGGGGCCGAGGCAGAGGGTCCCCTCATCTCTCTGGAGGTGGAGATGCCTCAGCTGCTGACCGCAAATCCAAGGTAGGAGCCAGAAGGGGCCAGAGGACTCTGCCTGAGGCTCTCCATTGTCATTCATCCCTCTTCCTACTGTCAAAGGGACCGCTTGCCTGGTTGTCCATCCTTCTGTGTCTCTCCCTTGCTTTCAGTCCCTCCATCTGGCTCTTTCTCTCTCACTTCCCTGACCAGTGCTTGTGTGGACTCTCCCTGGCTCTTCCCACCCGCCTTCCTCCCCTCCCCCACCTCTTCCTTCTCTTGCCAGCACTGTCCATGTGTCTGTCTCTGTCGGACTCTGTGTGTCTGCATTCTCCGTTCAGTGCATGTGCTTTCTCTCGTCTGTCTCGCTCCCTGCATTTGTTTGTGGGGAGCAGTGATGCTCTTTTTTTTTTTCTTTAGATTTTTTAAAAACTTTTTTTTAGAGAGAGAGGAAGGGAGGGAGAAAAAGAGGGAGAGAAACATCAGTCAGTTGCCTTCCGCACGCCCCTAGCGAGGGGCCTGGCCTGCAATCCAGGCATGTGCCCTGACTGAGAATCGAACCGGTGATCTTTTGGTTTGTGGGATGATGTCAACCCACTGAGCCACACCAGCCAGGGCACAGCAGTGACGTTCTTATTGTAACTACTCCCAGTGCCCTGACACACAGGCTCGCAGGGTGGGAGACTGTGTACATAGTGGCTTGGAGCCCCCCATGCACTTTGGGGTCAGCCCAGTTATCTTTGTTCCTTGTCCTTGGGTAGCTCACTTCCCCTCTGGAAGCTTCTGGGTGCTCACTATTAAGTGGGAAGAGTATCTGGTTTAAAGGTTACTGTAAGCATTCTTTGACATCAGACATCGAAGCCCTCAGAGTAAGTGCTGAAGGAACGAGACTCATGGGTGTTTATCATTTGCGTATGCTAAGCTGCTATAACAAAAAGACCACAGTTAAATCAAGTGGAAGTGTGTTTCTCTCTTGTGTGCCGAGCTCTGGCAATGAAAGTGTTACCTCGAGCAGCTTGGCTGTGTGCTCGTGTAAAATTCGGTTACCGTGGAGGAAGGGGAGGATGGATTGTTTGGGGGGTGGTCACCAAGCCATCTGCCCAGGTATCACTGTGGTTATTGTCATCATTACTGTAGCGGCCGTGGTGCATCTGCGTCCCCTAGCCCCTCCCAGGTTCCGTGTTTTGCTAGAAAGAGTCCCAGCTGAGCTTTATTACAGTGAAAGACTCCAAAGCAAATCAGCAAAGGGGAGAAGTGCATGGGCTGCCCTCTGGGGAGGCCCACTCGCCCAGTGGGATCAGACAGGTCGCATTTAATTGCTCAAGCACTGAGCTGTGACAGTGTACCTGAAAGGTCGCCTTCCAGGGACTCAGTAGAGACCTAGTGTCCAGGTTTTTATTGGGGGCTGGCCACGTAGGTCCCCTTTGCTTGTTGTATATCCAAATTCCCAACCCCAGAGTGGTGTTCAGCATGCACCACAGCGTTGGCACAAACCGTGGAGGTGCGGTGAGCCCCCTATCAATGAACTTGCCTGAGAACGCGGTGGAGCCAAATTCCCAGACCCCGGCCAAGGGCTGGCCTTTAAAGCCGCAGACACTTAGGCTGGCCATGTTAACTCTAAAGCACAGAGAGCTGAGTGGTTCTTTCTGAGACCCGGTGTCTCTGTCCCGCCCCCAGGAGTGGGAGGAGCGGCGCAGGCAGAACATCGAGAAGATGAATGAAGAGATGGAGAAGATTGCGGAGTATGAGCGCAACCAGCGGGTCAGTGCCAGGGTGTCCCCCATGTGGGGCAGAGCTGTCTGGGCCAGGTGAGCCTGCCAACCCCTGATCGATTCCTGTGCCCTCAGGAAGGCATGCTGGAGCCCAACCCAGTGCGGAACTTCCTGGATGACCCCCGGCGGCGTGGCGGGCCCCAGGAGGAGCCTGAGCGGGACCGAAGGGAAGGCAGCCGCCGGCATGGGCGCAACTGGGGTGGTTCTGACTTTGAGCGGGTGCGCTGCGGACTGGAGCAGGAGCGGCAGGTGGGTGCTGCAGCCAGACTCTTACTTCAGCAGCGAAGGTTCCTGCGTGTGCGCTGAACGCCAGGCACAGTGGCGAGCAGGGCAGACAGGGCGAGGCGGCCACTCTTTCACCCCAAATTCCTTGTTGGTTCTGGAGCCAGGACCACTGCTTTCTTTTGGCGATGTCCTCTCATTCCTAATATTAGTAATATTTACTTCCCCTCGGGGTGCCGGGCACTGTCCCAGGTGCTGGGACTAAGGGATTTATTTTTTTTTTAAAGATTTTATTCATTCACTTAGAGAGAGAGGGTAAGAGAGGGAGAGAAACATTGATATGTGAGAGAAACATCGATTGGTTGTCCCTCATGTGCCCCCTACTGGGGACATGGCCCGAAATCCAGGCATGTACCCTGACTGGGAATCGAACCAGCGACCTTTTGGTTCACAGGCTGGTGTTCAACCCACTGAGCCACACCAGGCAGGCGGGCCAAGGGTTTTAAACAGGCAAAATCCTGGCTCTAATGAAATTTATTCTGGTGGAAGATAAATGAATGGATATATAATGAGATGTCAGGTGAAACCAAATGTTGTGAAGAAAAATCTGGCAGGGTGAGGAGATAGATCTGGGAAGGCCTCTCTGAGGAGGTGACACATAAGGAGACCTGGGTTTTTTTGTGGGGTTTTTTTTTTTGAGATTTTGTTTATTTATTTTTAGAGAGGGAAGGGAGGGAGATAGAGAGAGGGAGAGAAACATCAATGTGCGGTTGCTGGGGGTCATGGCCTGCAACCCAGGCATGTACCCTGACTGGGAATCGAACCTGCAACACTTTGGTTCGCAGCCCACGCTCAATCCACTGGGCTATGCCAGTCAGGGCAGGAGACCTGGTTCTAATTGCTGCCTGTGTGACCTTGGGCAGGTGGCTCTACCTGAGCTTGGAGGACTTGGGGTAGAGTGGGGCGGGTGACAGAACAGGGCCCTGACTGCCTGTCTGCTGTGGGACAGGGCCGCCGGGCCGGCCCTGGCAGTGCCGGCGACATGACCCTGTCCATGACGGGCCGAGAGCGGTCGGAGTACCTGCGCTGGAAGCAGGAGCGGGAGAAGATCGACCAGGAGCGGCTGCAGCGGCACCGCAAGCCCACTGGCCAGTGGCGGCGGGAGTGGGATGCCGAGAAGACTGATGGGATGTGAGTGTCATCCCTGCTCGCCCCTGTTTGGCCCCTTGACCCTGACTTCTACCTCCTTTGACTGGCTCTGGTGTCTCACTCCAGGGATCAGCTAGCAGTGGTTAGGGCAGCACTGCCTGACCACCAGGTCTCAGTGGCTCATAAAAGCATTTCTTCCTCCTGTGTGCACGGGTCAGCTGGGTCTAGCTAACCCGGGCCTGACTCCCCTGTAGGCCCAGGAGGGCTCGGCTTCTCAGAGCAGGTCAAACTCATTTCTGCTGCACATGTATTCTTCCTGGGGTCCAGGCTGAGGGGGGCAGCAGCCTGGGGAGGAGTAGGTCGTGACTCTGGTGGACGTGCAGGAGGGAGAGCGGGCACACTTCCCCATTCCATTAGCCAGCAGACCCAGGGTCTCCGGGGTGGGAACTCAACCTCCATCTCTAGCGGGTAGCACGGCGTGATTCCAGGGCCGAAGGCGTGGATGTCAGTTGTCAAGCACGGAGGGCAGGAAGAATTGCCAGCGGTGATTACACCTTTGCACCCTCCCTTCAGCCTGCTCCTCTGTGTCAACCAACTCAAACCCCTTGCTGCGGCAGCGTCCCTTGCTCGGGTCTGACTCTGTGCCCTTTCGGGTCCAGGAAAAACCCAGTTATTCAAACTTAAAGCAAAGGTATATTTTTGTCATTGACAGGACAAACTTCCATATCAAATAGACGGAGAAGTTTCTGAAAGAGCCAAAGAAAGTCAGTCTTAAGATCAGCAGCTGTAGTTTTGATGCCAGCCTCTGTCCTTTGCTGCATTGGAAGGTTTCACACCTGGAAGTTTTATTGTTGACGCAGATTTGAGAACGCAGGGGACCTTACCAGTGTGCCTGGTGGTCAGAGCGTTTATTTTTGGGCGGGAGCTAAGCTCGTGCAAGCATGAAATATATAAGGTGGGGCAAAAGTAGGTTCACAGTTGGGCATACGTGAAACAGAATCTATTCTTGTGTTGTTATTTATTAATTATTGTATTATTTTTTATACAAACAACTGTGAACCTATTTTTGCCGCAACCTGCATTTTATTGTTGCCAATCTTCCTAAAATGTAGGCAGCTGGGCTTTTGGGGAGTTGTCCTCAGGGGTTAGGAATGAGAAATTGCCCTGAAGGGTGTGGCTCAGTGGGTTGGGCGTTGTTCTGCGAAGTGATAGGTCACCGGTTCAATTCCTAGTCAGGGCATCAAGGAAAAATCAACAACAACAAAAAAACCCAAAAAGAAATTGTTTTTCTTTCTTTCTTTCTTTTTTTTTTTTTTGAAGACAGGGAGAGAAACATCAGTGTGTGGTTGCTCCTTTCATGCCCCCCACTGGGAACCTGGCCTGCAACCCAGACATGTGCTCCGGCTGGGAATCAAACCAGTGATCCTTTGGTTCGCAGGCTGGTTCTCAATCCACTGAGCTACACCAGCCAGGGCTGTTTTTCTCCTATGTCCCCAAAGCAGCCTGTACCAAGTCTCATTAACACGTGCGCACTGACTTTGTTAGCACATGTTTTTTGAGTCCTTTCCATGTGTCACGGCAGGTTTTAGGTGATGGGGATACAGCAGTGAATAAAACACTTCTGGCTTCATGGAACTTGGAGACTAGTGGGGAAGACGGGTCATGAGTAGATCTAATGTCAGGTGGAGGAATAATGAAGTAAAGGGATGGAGGCTGTTGTTTTAAACTTGGGTAATGTATATAATAAGATAAAATTGTTTTATTTCTTTAAATTCTTTTAAAAATATTTTATTTGTTGATTTTTTTAGAGGGGAAGGGAAGGAGGAAGAGGGGGAGGGAAACATCAATGTGTGGCTGCCCCTCAAGCACCCCCTATTGGGGACCCACCCTGCAAGACAGACATGTGCCCTGACTGGGAATTGAACCGATGACCCCTTGGTTCTCAGACTGGCACTTGACACACTGAGGGCAAGATACGGTTATTTTAGATGGGGATTTAGGAAGGCCTCTGAGCTGAGGTCTGAAGGAGGTGAGGGAGCAGGCCACTGAAAGATCTGGAGAAGAGTGTCCCAGCAGCAGCAGGTGCAAAGGCCCTGAGGCAGGGGTCCCTTGTAGTAGAACCTGCTTAGCTGGGACAGTGGGAGATAATAATAAGAAATGAGGCCAGACAGGAAGCGAGGGATCATGTACTTCCCAAATTTTTTTCCAAAGGGTTCAAATACTGAATTTCTTCTTTCTGTATTTGTCATGTGATGTCAGGCTTACCTCTTGTCCATCACCTTCTCCTATCCCCCTTCTAATTGGTGGCCCCCGTCCGGTTGAACATCTCTTATGATCTTGATTTCCTCTCTTGCTTCCCCCAACTGTCTGCTCACCTTTTTTCTCTCTCCCCAGGTTCAAGGATGGCCCAGCCGCTGCTCATGAACCAGCCCACCGCTACGGTGAGTGGGTGTCCCTGGGTGGGGTGAGGCAGCTGGCTGGGTCAGGTGTGGGGGGTGGTTTGTGCCATGTTCTCTACCCCTCACCCCTCCTGTGTTCTGTTGCAGATGACCAGGCCTGGGCCCGGCCTCCCAAGCCCCCCACTTTCAGGGAGTTCCTGTCCCAGCACAAAGCTGAGGTCAGCCGCAGGAGGAGGAAGGGCAGCCGACCCCAGGCCAAGGCAGCGCCTCGTGCCTACAGGTGGGGGCGCCGTTCCCTGTGCATGCGCCCCCCGGCGGGACTGCGTGGCCCACACCTGCTCGTTCCGACTTGGGTGTTTGTGGGTCTGTGTCTCTCCAGGAACTTGTCTCTCTGTAGGTCAGATGCTTGGTTTGGGGAGGTCTTTCCACTTTACCCCATCTGTCCCCTCTTCCTCTCCCACCCATTTCCCCTTCTGCCATCTGGTTCCCCCACCAACTGCCTGTCCCCAACATCTGAAGACACACACACCCGCCGTTTCCTCCTGAGTACCCTGTCACACCCATCATGTATGGAAATCTTGAAACACCTTGCATTCCCTAAGTCGAATTTTGTACCTCTGCTCTGGGAAGGAGTGAGAGGTGGGAAGCCCCTTCCTCCTGTCCCCACCCAGGTCTCACAACCCTTTCCTCTGACCTCCCCAGTGACCATGATGACCGCTGGGAGACGAAGGAGGCAGTGTCCCCAGCCCCTGAGGTCCCACAGCATACTCCTTTGGAGGAGACGCCCACACAGGTAAGGTGGCCTTATTTCTGGGGAGGGTGTAGGGGTGCTCGGGGCCCTGCCCTCTCTTCCACCTGCCCTGTGTTCCCCACAGCTGCCTGAGATCCCCACCCCTGCCCCCCAGCCTCCTGAGGATCAGGGGGAGGAGGACCAGGGGGAGGAGGACCAGGGGGAGGAGGACCAGGGGGAGGAAGACCAGGGGGAAGAAGACGAAGGTGAGGACGAGGAGTGGGAAGATGTGAGTGAGGACGAGGAGGACATTGAGGAGGAAGAAGAGGCTGAGGAGGAGGAAGAGGAGGAAGAACCAGCTCAAGACCACCAACCCCAAGAGTCTGAGCCCACCAGGAACCCCGGCAGCAAGCAGGCCAGCAAAGAGCCCTTCAGGCCCGAGGAGCCCCCGCCAATTCCCCAGGCCCCTGCCACACCTTCCAGCCCCTTCTCACCCCCTGGGGGCCACCAGCCTGTGTCTGACTGGGGCGAAGAAGTGGAGCTGAATTCTCCCGGAGCCACCCACCCGGCAGATGCCCTCTCTCCGGGTGAGGCCTGGCCCTTCGGATATGCATGAAGCTGGCTGCTTGTGTGTGTGTGTGTCCAGGGGGTGCCTGGGCCGGGGCACCGTGGGGCTGGGCCCTGGGATCCCATGTACCCTGCCGCCCTGGCAACTAGGGAGGACCGTGCACACTGTTCTGTGTGCTGTCCTTACCGGCCTTTCAAGTGCCTGCCCGCAGACGCCGCCTCTGCTCTGGACGTTCCAGAGCTCCCTCCCCAATAAAGAGTTCACATTCAATGACACTCACATTCCAATGACACTCCCCAGGTGTGCGCTTGAACCCCCCTCACCATCAGGGCCTTCTGTCTCCGGGTGGGGGGCTACTTGGAGGGGGAAGGGCTTGACTGGGCCTCCTCCTTCTCCAGGAGGTGACCAGCCAGCCCCTGCCTCCCTGGAGAGTGCGCCTAGCCTCCCTGGAACCCAGAAAGCTGAAGAGGAGGGGTCTGAGGCAGCTCCAGGTGGGGGAGCCCTGGGGCCCTGGAGGTGGCTGCCTGCCTTCCTCTTTCTCCGGTTGAGGGGTGGGGGCGGAGGATGGAGTGGGGCTGGGCTCCATCATGGGTGTGTGCTGTAGCAGCTGGGGAGGGGGGGTGGCTCTGGAACTGGGACCAAGGTCGGGGGTGGAGCTAAGGCTCGGAGTTCTGGGGCCTAGCGACTGGGAGGGCGGGGCTCTGGGGGTGAGGAGGTGGGGGCCATAACGGCGTTAGGAATTAGAGGGTCCTGGAAGGGGTTTTCCGAAGTAACGCAAAGGCCAAGAATGGGAACTAAGGACGGGAGTAGAAGTCAAAATAGATTTTTTTTAAAAGTGGGGAGGGGCAGCGTAATGGCTTTAGCTGTGAGCTGGGTTAGATTTTTGAGGTGTGACTGAGTGGGGTCAATTGAATAGACCCTGTTAGAATTTTGGGTCCGACGGAGTAAAAGCCAGGGGCAGAACCCCGTGTCTCCACCTCCACCCGATGGAAGCCGGGTTGTAAAGCAGGCACTGCCTTCCCCCCACCCCAGGGGTGGGATTGGGACCTGGGGCAGAGCAAAAGGGTAGAAGTCAGGAGGTGGGCAGGTGCAGGTGGGCAGTCACGGTGGAGGTAGGTTTAAGCCCGTGAGAGGGTGGTGGGCTGGGGTCGGAGAGGAGCGAGTGTAGGATAGTGGGTGAGGCCAGGGTACCCTAGCGCTTTTGCCATGTGTTGGCCAAGTGATTACAATCTCGCTATACCAATTTATTTTCTTGACTAAAAAGTTCTGCGGTTTCATGAGGCCACTGCAAGGATTAAAGGAGACTGAGGCTCCTACACCATTTGGCGCTAGGGGTGGCTGTGGCCAGGCTCAATAGAGATGAGGGGCGGGGCTAGGCGGGAGGAGGGGGCGCGGGCGGGGACTGTTGCCCTCCGCTGACCGCCCCTTCTCTCTGCAGAAGTGGGCCGCGAAGGCCAGGAGACTGCGGAGATCACGGACTTCCAGAGGGTGCGTTTCTGCAAGGTGGTGGCGGCCGCCCCACCACCGGGGGCCGCCCGCTGACCGTGCCCTCCGACTCTGCACTAACTTCCCGCAGCCTCGCTCCTCTGTCCTCTGCTTCTGCCACGCTCCAGCCAGGAGAGGGTTAAATGTAAGGGGGGAGGAGCCAGGGACAGCTAACTGGGGTAGGGTCAGCTCAGCAGCCGGGTCTCTCAAATGCGTGGCGCCATGGCACCTGGATGGCTGAGAAGCCTCCAAGTTACCCACCTATGGCGGCCCTGGTGGGTAGGTGCTAGCCTCCGGGAAGAGTTTCCCGCCTCTCGGACATTACATCTAAGGTGTGGCAGCTAGCTGGGGACTCTTCCGAAGGACTTGAATTACTCGGCCACCAGTTGTCTTTATTAAATGCAGCGCTTTCGCTAACCTTTGAACTGTGTTTCAGGTTGGGGGGGGGTGTTGCTGTGCTTTGCAGGCTTTACCGTGGCGGAAGAGGCGCGAAGAAGGGGGTCTTCCTTCCTCCACCCTCCTGATTTGTCTTCCCTCCCCCCTCCTGCAGGCCTCCCCGAATTCCTGAAGATGCTGCTGGGAGGGCCCTGAAGCTTACCCGCCTTGATGGGGAGGGGGCGGCAGGAGGGGGTTGGTCTGCCTCTCCACCCTGTGCTCTCTGCTCCCTGGAGCCCACTCTGGACCCTATGGCTTAGGGAGAGGGAGAAATGGAGGGTGGTGGGGGAGGAGCTGGGGGAGGGGCGTGATTGGAGTGTGAGGTGCAGCTGCAACTTCTGGGTGTGAGTTTAGACCTTAGGACACATTTTGGAGGAGGCTGGTTCCGTAACGGGCGTGGTTAGAGTTTCTGGGAGGGCCAGAATGGTGGGCGGGGTTAGGGCTTCCATTGGCGTTAGGCTCTGGGGTGGGACCACGGGAGCCGGTTTGGGTGGGAGTTCCTAACGCTGGTGAAGGGCGCAGCCACCTGTGGCTGCATTCCGTGCTGGAACGAGTGGGGTGCAGAGGAGAAAAGGAATGGAGCCTGGAATACAGAAGGTGAAGCGAGGGAGAGAAGAGGACGGAATCAAATGCTGGAGTATAGCCTCATTTTGTGTAAAATCAAGCTGGAACTGGAGTGAGGCTTGCAAGGGTCTAGCATAGAGATGGGGATCGTAGCATGGCTAGATTACTGGAGGACTGAGTACCGAAAGAGACCGGGGTTAGAGCGCGGAGAGGAAGTCTCAAAAAGAGGACAGAGGAACTAAGCCTCAGAGCGGGCTTGTATTTAAAAGGCGTGGGTATAATACAGAAGCCTCGCAGTAGTCAGCTGGGCCGACACCTGCCTTTGAGGGAAAAAAATAGGCATTGCAAGTCTGGGGCGGGGCCAGGACGGCTTGGTTAAGCCTTAGCTTGATGCTGATTGGCCGGAGGCTGAGGAGGGGCGGGCCTGGAGAGCAGAGGTGGGCTAACCATGAGCGGGCGTGACCTGGCAGGGGAGCAGTTGGACCAGAAAGATTTAGGGCCGAGAGGCAGTCCTCCGAAAGGGGCTGGCCCTAGAGTGTGGGTGGGGTCTGCGCTGCCGCTTCACAGGCCAAGTGGGCTGTGGAGATGCGGGGCACGAGCTGCGTGGGCGGCGGTGGCGAGAGCCCGGGTGGCTCGGGGCTGAGCGAAGGCCCGCGGGGTCGCTGGCTGCGCCTGGCCCCTGTCTGCGCCTACTTCCTCTGCGTCTCGTTGGCCGCGGTGCTGCTCGCTGTCTACTATGGTCTCATCTGGGTTCCCACGCGGCGCCACGCGGCCCCCGCAGGCCTGCAGCCGAGCGCACCCTCCCCTCTGTGCGCTGCCCGCCAGGGTGCGCCGCCTGCACCGGCGCCCGCCGCTGCCTCGGTCTCTTGCCTCCTAGGAGTCCCTGGCGGGCCGCGACCCCAGCTTGAGCTGCCACGCAGCCGCCGCCGCCGCCACAGCGACCCCAGCCACCGCCCAAGCCACCAGATGCCCCGGGAGACGCAGGAAGCCGTGGAGGGGCGAGGACCGGGGTAACCATCCCTTCCACCCCAAGTCGGCCGGACCACCGGCCCTCGAGAGGACGTGCCCCCACCGTGGATGCAGGGTCCAGGCTGGGCCAAGACTCTCTTCATGAAATCGCCTGGCGCCTCTGGAGCTGTCATCCTCACGAATGGGGGGTGAAGGGGAGCGGGCTCCGGGCCTCGCCCTTCGCAGCATCTCCGGTGTCCGGCTGGGTCCTCCACCATCTGGCAGAACACATCCTGACCTCTCTCTCCCCCCCCGTCCTTCCCTCCATAGGATCTGAGCCCAGAGCCCACAGCCGGCCCCCCTCCTCTCTGGATCGCGGTGTCCTTAGGCTCACCTGCAATAAACTCCTGTCCCAACTGCCTGGTGCTGTCGTCTTGTCTGCAGAGGTGGCTCCCCTCGCCAGTATGCGGGAAGTCTTTCCTGGCATCTGATCTCTCTCTCTTTTGCCCTGGGGTGGGCTGAGTGTGTTCGCCCCTTCCATAGGGGATGCCCCTTTTCTTCTCCCATCGTCATCATGTGATTTTGGGGTTGGGGTGGTAGAAAGAGGCTTACTTGCAAATGGGTAGCTGAAGGTCAGACAGCATGAAGGACTTCATGATTTCTTTGCATGCTTGGAGCGGAGGGCAAGTGAGAAGCAGAGGATCCACCCTCCTGTCTCAGCACAGGAGACCAGATGAAAGGTGGGATGATTTCAAGCAAGAACAGGGGTTCTGGGGTTTATGCTTAGTGTAATTACAACATCGGGGACAGAGGCTAAGTTGCCGTGGGACGCCAGGATGCTGCTGGGCAGGGATGGTGCCTTCTTCCTAGGGCTTTAGGGGAGAGCACGGACAGCGCCTGTGGTGAGGTTTCTCCGCCTCCCTGGAAGTGACAGAGGACGTGCTCTCAAAGCACTATGCTGCGTCTGAAGGTTAGTCCAAGCTCTGGGGCTGCAATGCTGCTGGTAAACCAAGGCAGAGAAACCCAGGCCCTGCTCAAAGAATCGGAGGTAGTTGAATCCATTTTCCTACCTAGAAGACTGAGACCCGGCTCCGGACAGGGCACTGGACCTTCCACACAGGGTGTGGTTTTCCTGGCCAGCACCTCCTTCGAACCGGAGACTTTCCCAGGAGGGCGAAGGCGAGCCTCCCCGCTCAAACTGGAACATCTGTGGATCCCGACTGTGCCGGGCATGTCCGTCTTTCTCTTCACTCCCCTCTCCCCTCTGCTCATTCCCTGGAGGGTGTCTCCAGAAGGAAGGGGGACTCAGGAAGCCAGCACCCCTTTGTGGTAAGCTTAGGTGGTGGCTAGGGGTGCTAATTTGGGGGTCAAGATGTGCAGATTCAAATCCCAGTTTTTCCTCTCACTATCCGTGTGACTTCGGGCAGGTCTCTCAACCTCTGTAGTCTTGTAAAGTGAAAATACAATAATAGTATTTGTCTCATAGAATCTCTCTGGGGATCAAAGAAGCTAGGGCTCTTTGAACAGCATCACATTCCTCCTCTCCACTTGCCTCTGTCCCTCAGGGCTTTAAAAAGCAAAGCTTGGATCCCAAGGTATTAAGTCAGCCCAAAGCTCTGGACACCAGCAGATGGTGGATTTAGAGAGAGGGATTTCACCTCTGTTCCCACCACCCCAACCACCATTTCTATGTTTCAGCTCTTCCCCTAGCCCTGTTTCTTAAAACAAAACAAAAAACCCTCACCCGTGGATATGTTTTTGATATTAAAGAAAGAGGAAGGGGGAGAGGGAAAGAGAGAGAGACATTGATATAAGAGAAACATCAATTGTGCCTCTTGTACACGCCCCAACCAAGGATTGAACTCTCAACCGAGGTATGTGCCTTGACCAGGTCTTGAACCTGCAACCCTTTGGTGTACAGAACAATGCTCCAACCAACTGACCCACCGGGCCAGGGCCAATCCTCTGGATCTTGACTTCTTGGCTTCTCTTCTTGTCTCTGTGTCTCTCTCTCCACCCTCCTATCCCCCGCTTTTCTCTTTCTGTGTTTGTTTCCGTCTCCCAGTTTTTGTCTCTGTGTCTCTCCCTGACAGCTCTCAACATTCCTTCTCTGTCTCTCTCTCCCTCTGCCTTATTCCCTGACACATCCTGTTATCCCTGTTGCTCTCCTGGCTCTCTCTCTACTTCTCCTCCCTTCCTTACTTTCTCCCCCCACCTTGCTCTCCTTTTTCTGCCCCACCCTCCTTTCCCATTTCTCTCCTGGTTCAGCCTCCCCTGCTGCCCCATCTCCTCCTCTTTCTTTGTCTGTTTCTACTCATCTGTTTCCGTTTCTGCCTCTTTTGTTTGCTATGCTCTAATCTTAAAAAAAGGATTTTATTTATTTATTTTCAGAGAGAGGGGAAGAAAGGGAGAAAGAGGAGAAAAATATCCACATGTGGTTGCCTCTCACCAGCCCCTTACTGGGGACCTGGCCTGCAACCCAGGCATGTGCCCTGACTGGGAATCAAACTGGAGACTCTGGTTCGCAGGCCAGCACTCAATCCACTGAGCCATACCAGCTAGGGCTAATCTTTCTTTAAAAAAAAGATTTTTATTTATTTCTTTTGGAGAGAAGGGAAGGGAGGTAAAAAGAGAGGAAGAGAAACATTGATTGGTTGCCTCTTACAAACACCCGACTGGGGACCTGGCCCGAATCCGAGGCATGTGCCTTGACTAAGAATCAAACTGCTGACCTCTCAATTTGCAGGCTGGCAGTTAACCCACTGAGCCACACCAGCCAGGGCTTACTATTTCATTTAACAAATATTTATTGACCTGTGTGTCAGGTCTTATTTTAGCACTGGCGACACAGCAGTGAACAAAACAGGAAAAAATTCCTGCTCTCAATGGAGCTTACATATGAGTGGGGAGACAGGCAAGAAATATGAATAACTTCAACCTATGTTCTGCCAGGTAATAATAAGCACAAAGGAGAAAAATAATCAGAGTAAAGGTAATAGGGAGTCACGGAGTTGCTGGTTACTGGGAAGAAGCCCGAGGAGTGTGGGTAGGACGTGGGGGAATAGTGCTGCAGGGAGTGGGAACAGCACATGCAAAGGCCCTGAGGCTGGCGATGCTTGGCTTGTTTGAAGACCAGTGAGAAGGCCAGTGTGGCTGGAGCTGAGTGAGTGAGGCGGAGAGCAGGAGGAGGTGCCATGGGAGAGAATGTGGAGATTGGGGAGATGGCATAGAGCCTCACGGCGAGGACTTTGGCTTTTACTCTGAGCGAGGTGGCGCCATGGAGGCTTCTAAGCTGAGGAGGGATGGGAGCCAATCTAGTTACTAACAGGCCCGCTGCCTGCCCGGTGGGGAATGAACTGCAGGGGACGAGAGGGGAAGCTGGGACCCCGTGAGGAGGATGCTGACATAATTATGGTGAGGGACCGTGGTGTCTAGGCCGGGGTGGTGCTCGAAGAGGCAGACATGAGTGGTCCGAATCTGTGTGTGTGTGTGTGTGTGTGTGTGTGTGTGTGTGTGTAAAATACACACAGCATGAAAGTTATCATTTAAAAAAGATTTTTTTTATTTATTTATAGAGAGGGGAAGGGAGGGAGAAAGAAAGAGAGAGTAACATCAATGTGTGGTTGCTTCTCATGTGGCCTCCACTGGGGACCTGGCCTGCAACCCAGGAATGTGCCTGACTCGGAATCGAACCTGCGATGCTTTGGTTCGCAGCCGGCGCTCAATCCACTGAGCTATGCCAGCCAGGGCTAAAAGTTATCATTTTAACCATTCTTGAGTGATCCGTTCGAGGCACTAAGCAGATTCACAGAGTTGGGCAACCATCCACCTGTCAGAGATCCCAGAAAGGTTAGACGGGGTGGGGCCTGGGTGAGAGGAGTCTCAGGCTGTAATACATTTCTGAGAAAGTCTGGGTGTGTGTGTGTCCACAGGGGTGGTGGTCCTGGGGAAGAGGTTGCCCATCAGAGGATTCCTGGGTCAGGTAGGAATGGGCTGGCACTGGTACCCACTCTGCTTTGTCACTGAAAGCGGCTGGAGGGAGTTACGGCCTTGGCACCCAAGTGGGGCTGTCAGACAGCTGTGTTCGCAGCAGAGGGATCTGAGCAACGCCCTCCCAGGACCACCGCAGGGACCTAAACGACTTCTGTGTGCAGGACCAACCTCATCCCTAAGCAGCCTCATCGGGTGCCCACAGGCCCAGGCACCTGTGAACTCCCCATTCCCACCCATTGGTTATGAGGAGGCTTGGCCCCTACTGGTGAGCCAAGGGGCTTCCCCTCAATCTGATTGGATCAGCCTGGGTCACGTGAGATAGCCGAGTCAGGTGCTGGTTGGTTAAGGCTTGGGTCCCTGAACCGCCCACTGGCAAATGAAGGCGGTATTACTCTGAAGATTTTGACCAATCAGGACCCATCGCTGGATCTGTCCGACACTAGTAGACATCCTACCTCTGCAGCCGAACTGCAAGGGCTGGGACTACCAGGAGGGGGCGATGAAGAACTGATGTCCTCCTGGATCCTGGGGTTCTCTCCCATGCCCACCCCTAGAATCCAAGATTTACAATTACAGCAGGAATATATATATATACACCTGTGAGGGGCCTGTTAATAGAATCCCACATCCCTTATCTGCAATTCCAAATTCCCAAAAGCTCTGACAGCCAAAATATATATATTTTTTGTGGGCGGTAATTTTTGCCCAATCTCACATGGTGGCAAATCAGCTAATACTAGCTATTGCACTCTTGATTCATATTCTTGGTGTGAATTTTCACACACTTTGCTGCAAATATATTAACATGTCTGATGGGTAGGGGGCTACCCATCAAGAGCCTAGCTTCGGCTCTTGGGAGTGTTACATAATATATGCCATTCTCTCAGAATTACCTTTCTAAAATTAGAACAGTTCTGAGTTCTGAGATGCATCTGTCTCCAAGGACTTCAGCTAAGGGATTATGGACCTCCAGCAGGGCACACCGCCAAATCTAGGTTCATCTTAATTATTTGTTCAACATTTATTTAATGGCTTTGGGCTGGAACTCATTTTCCATTACAATATTTTAAAAATAGAAAATAACGTTCATTTACTAAGTTCCCCTCGTTAATGTTATTGTATTCTTAGTGCTCTGTGTATCTGTGTGTGTGTGACCGTATGTGTGGGTGCCCGTGTGTGAGGCAGTGTCTCTGTATGAGTGGGACAATATTTCCGTGTGTGTTCATATGTGGGTCTCTGTGAAAGGTTGGATGGGCATGTGTTTGATCGTGTGTGTATCTGTGTGATGGTGTGTATGTGTGTGTGATGGTGTATATGTGTGGGTGATGGTGTATATGTGTGAATGTGACAGTGGTCTCTGTGTTTGCATTTGTGTGTGAATGTGCATGAGAGGAAGCGTGGTTCAGGGTTCAAAGTTAATATGCTGA